ACTATCCGTGATTGGTTGGTTCAGGGGTACTTATTCTAGGGACGGGTGCTCCCCAGGGGTAGAAGAAAAAGAATGTTAAGTTTTCCTGAATAAACTGCTAGAAGAAGAGCTTTGGTGTTGCGTCGTCATTGCTGGTCAAAGGCGAACGCGACAGCTTTGTCCAAGAAGGACATCAAAAGGTAGGTTGTATATGGCCACCCCTGCTCTAGACCTTATATCTGCACCATCACCATATACAGTTGTCAAAAGGTCATTGAGGCCAAACTCCATTGCCCAAGTACTTCTGCTCAAAGAGCAGAGCTCATAGTTCTTACCTGGGGAGAGACATTAAGAAAATGCAAAAAGCTAAATATCTACATAGACTCCAAATATGTCTTTCTGGTGCTCTATGCCCATATAGAAACCTATAAAGGAGCTTGCTGTGCAGTAAGCAATCACCTATAAAACAGAAGCAGGAAATTCTCCAACTCTTAGAGGCAGTCTATTTTCCTAAGTAGGTCACTATCATTTAATGCAAGGGACCCCTAAGAGATATATCTAAAATCTCTTTGGAAAATCAAAAGCCTGGTAGAGAGGTAAGAAGGAAAGCCTTATAGCCCTTGAAGACCCTAACCTTATTTCCATTTCCTGAGGAACCATTAAACTAATCCTTCCTCAAGGGAGGCAGTGACAAGCTAAACAAATTGTACATGGGAAATGGTCACTCTTGAAAATTTACCTGAAATCCCTCTTTGCTGTATTTCTTTCTCCTGAAGCATAAAAATTTAACCTGCTCTTCATATTTGGGCTCTACATCCCCAACCTGATAATAAAGTTAGTTACTTTCTTTTTCCCATTGAACAGACAGCTCAATAGATATTAACTCTTCTCTCACTGTCTAATGACAGATATTTTTCCTTCAGCCAAGTCAGTGAGCCACAGTACCCCAAGGTATAGGTAGGCCCTATAGCTGCTTCCAGCAGGAAGTAGCTATATGAAGACAAGAGACCTCTACTCCCTCAGAGCCCCTTAAAGAATTATGAGCATATCTGTCTCTCAGGGGAAAATGATGCAGGAGATTAAGGCATGGCAAAGACTGGCTGGGAAAATACGTATGACTTGTTAATTGCAAAATCCCAGGAGGGTGTGACAGACTGCCTGGAGGAGTAGGCATGACAAAAACCCAGGACACAGGCATAGAACAGTTCCCAAAGCCCTGCATATGGACTTGTCATGAGAACTCATGTAGGTTCTCTATAGGATGGCCTAGACCTAATGTTGTCCTGAGGAGTGGGAGATACAAAAAGATAGTTGACAGCAAACTCTTTGCTACTGTGTTTTTTCATTATAGCCTGCTCTCTCCATTGGAATGTACTTATTTTCCTACGTTTACTTTGGCCTAAACTTGCTCTGTAGAGCCTATTTCTTTTCCTATCCTTAATAAATGTAACCCCCCCGGGGATTTAGTGGAGGGGCCGAGTTCAATCCCCGGTACCCTCCCCATATATATATATATATATATATATATACACATATATACAACCTTATTACCCACTTCCCCAAATAAAAACAAATCCTCATGGTAAGCACAAAGCAAAAATTATGGTAGATAAACAAAAAATAAAAATCAAGGAATCAAAATATACCACTAGAGAAAATTGCTTAACCACAAAAGAAGACTGTATAGGAGGAAGATGAGAACAAAGAGTCTTTAAAACAACTATAAAGCTGGGCATGGTGGTGGACACCTGTAATCCCAGCACTCAGGAGGCTGAGACAGGAGGATTGCCACAAGTTTGAGACCAGCCTGGACTATACAGTGCGTTCATGTCCAGTCTGAACTACATAGTGAGACCCTGTCAAACAAAACAAAACAAACAAACAAAAAAACCCAAGCAAAATAAAACTAGAAAACAATGAACAAGATGATGATAGGAAGGCTGTACCTATCAATAATAACCCTAGATGTAAATGGAAATGCATGGATTGTATTATAAGGTTATGGCAATTAAAATTAATGTCCTAAATCTACATTTATCAACATGGATAAATCTCAGACACACCATGCTGAATAATTAAAAAAGATCATCTCATGATTTATATGAAGCTTGAAAACTTGCAAAACAACATTATCTGATGCTTATAATATAGGGGTCTGTGGCAATAGTATAAGATACATCCCCCAAAATCAAAATCAGGATATGGTGGGTACTACTTAGCACTTTCTCTTTTACTTTCTGTTTTTGTCTGTCTCTCTCCTCTAGGATCTGACACATGCTGGGCAAGTACTCTACCACTGAGCTATATGCCCAGCCTGATTATTGTTTGTTTTAATCAATTATTGTGTGTTAAAAATCATGTGCTTATCTGTCACGAAGGTATAGACCCTAGCACAGATCAAGAAGGGAGAAATGTGTTTCTTCCAGAACTTATGTAATGGCTGTTCTTAGTGTTTTCATCTGAACTTCAACTGAAGAGAGTAAGAACAGATGACCAGGGCTTTGGGGCAAAGGGATAGAGGTGAGGTAGAGTAGGTGCTGTTAGAAGTCTTCGTTACCAGTGAGGATTTTTTTTTTTGAAATGTGAGATTTGAGGTGAGAAGTCAGAAAGATGTGAGGCAGCCTGGTGACCCTAAGGAGAGGCTATCAAGGAGAATGGGATGATGAACAGTTTTCTTGAACAGTTAACCATTTAGGATTGCTTCGAGTAGGCTGACAATTATCATTTTCTATCATTCATGCACATAAATCACAAGACCCAAAATTCACCAGAGAAACGAGGAAAGAGAAGAAATGGAATCTTCCTCCAAAACCCGTCACCTAAATTCTCTAAAGCTGAAGTGGAGCAGGGCACAGGAAAAATAGAAAAAGCATCTTAGGGGTGGGAGGGGTCGATATCTTCTTAGAGGGGGCCATGAGATCCCAGCTGTGCTGATCCTTTTTCCATCGAGATTTGAAACATTTTAGGGTTGAGGTTGCTTGGCACAATGCTGCTTTCTATGAAGAGGAAACATGATCACAAGCTGCTGTTCTTCTGTGACATTCCTCCTACACTGTAACATGCTTCAGTGGAGAAATCAAAAGGTGATACAGTTTTCAATTCACTGGAAGGTACTCTGTATGTCACAAAGGAAGTAACTCTTGCCAACATTTGCCTGAGTAATTCATATTTAGTTATGGATTCCTCCACTCAAAGCAAGGGCCTAAGCAGTTAGTGAAAGAAGTGTTGGTAATGTATAAGTTCTAGCAGAGTATTCATGATGACTTAACTGTAGTCCCCAAGGAAAACACTATTACTCCATCTCTCACAGATGACGATATTTTTATTCATTGAGTTATGTACCCACAATACTCTAGAGTATTACCATCCACTTAACAGACTTAAATCTTGGATTTTCTGATCATATTTTTAAATTAGCATAAAGAAATGCAAAACCATAAGCCAGGAGAATCCTCGTAGATTACTGCCAAGAGGTTTTGTGGCTTTTTTTTTTCCATACATAAAAATATTTTGAATTTCTAAAACATGGAGCAGTTCTTTTCATTAGGCTTGTGTGATTGAGTTGTGCTTCTAATGGGAGTTGGAAGCATAAGAATAGTAACGTTCATAAATAAAAGAGTAAAACTTTCATTTTGACTGGATAAAGTAGAAGTGTAGGCACAAGGTATAAGAGTCTTAATTTTATTCTCTTATCTTTTATCTCTTCATAATATCTCCAAGAAAGCATCAGACATAACCGCTACCCCAAAGATCTTTTTAGTCTTCCCTTTCCATTCATTATATTCTGCTTCACTTTGAGGTCTCTGGTCCTACTTCCTGGCTGTCTTCATTATTAACTTTTTGCTTTTTCCCACTTGCTAACAAGGAGTAAATGTGTAGCAAGTCAAAAGGCTGAGTTTCCACATGTCTGAGAAAGGTCAGATTCCATTTGAAGCTTGAATTCAGGTCAAGCTCTGGGACAACTGCAGGTTCACTGGCACTCATCCCTATATGCTGGGTCAGGCCTCAGGGCATCTGCTATAGAAGAACTGGGTATCTGCTTCTCATGAGCTTGACATTCAGAGTAGCTACATGGCAGTACTGACTCCCTGCATGGCAGTACTGACTCCCTGCCACTTGGGGCATCTGTTAATTTAAAGAGTACCTGCTTCTCTAAGACAGGATTTCTTAAGCCTTTGGACTAGAAGAGTAGCAAATGCTTTACTTTAATGCTTATTACTTAGGAAAGAAAAAGCCCCAGAGTATTTCAACAGAAAGAATCTAGTATAAGGAAGACTAAACATGTTGGGAGACTAAAACATTTTTTAAAAGTGACAAAGAAGTAATAACTGTAATAAGCAGCTACAACCTGTACGGTTGGAAATCTAGAAGAGGACATGAGGTTGGGGTTATCAGAATCTAGAATCTTGGAGGAGGGGCCCCATAGAGCAAGAGTTCAAGAGTTCTGAAAAGGAATACGACTTGGCTGAAGTCAAAGGACAAGAGAAACAATGTGGCTGGTTTGGATGTGCCTTAAAAAGCTGGAGACAGGAAACACTGCTGCCAGACTGAAGGGGCATCACTGGGGTGGTGCTGACAAGCATACTGGCCAACAGGAAGAGGCAAGTTGCTCCTGGCTCTCCCATCCTGGTGTACTTCCTCCAGTGTCCCTGGTGGCCAGATGACAAAGCAGCAGTGTAACTGGTACAGGTCCAGCCCCACCAAGACAAAGGGGAGGGGAAACAGTAGGTTTGTGGCCAAATGATAACAGCTCACTAACTGCTATATGATACTTTACCTTAACTATAAGCTTATACTTTGAATTTTAAAATTGAATTATTTTCTACTTTACTTTTCCCTATAGTACTATTTTACCACATTTGAAATGTTAAAAAGCTGGAGGAGCTCCATCACATTGATTTCATTGACTTAATAGTAGGTTATGACCCTCAGTGAGGAAAACTCTGCTCTAGGAGGTCTTCAAAGACAGTGGGACTGAGCACCAGAACTCAGTACTTCTTACTGTCTGACTCTTCCCACAGCAACAGTGACTTAAAGGATAACCTCAAAAGTGACCCCTTCACTGAATACATGTGTAGGCTCACACTTCTATAGGCTTTAGGGATATTTATGTTAAGAGGCTGCAAATGTTCTGCATAAAGCAATGTCTCCTACCTTTGGTTCTTCTTTCTATAATTTCTCACAGAGAGTCAACTGTAATTTGAAAATATTAAATGGAAAATTAAAAAACAAAAAATTTGTAAGTTTTAAGTAACTTTCACCACAGTATAACTATTTTATTGTTTTCTTTAAAAAACTTCTTACTGTGCTTGCTTCGGCAGCACATATACTAAAATTGGAATGATACAGAGACGATTAACATGGCCCCTGCGCAAGGATGACACGTAAAAACTTCTTACTATGCTTAATTTATCATAGGTATATATGTTTAGGAAAACCACTATACTTAGTAATACTATCCCCTGGGGCTCTTTGAATGTAGCTCCTGCAGATAAGGGAAGATTATTATAATATTAGAGGGAGGTACAAGAAGAGAAAACTTAAACATCAATCAAAAAACTTATATATGTAGTATTTTGAAGGTGTTTGGGGGAATGCCCAGGAACACACATCAGAAAAGCTTGAAATATGATGAGAAAAGACAAAAGTCAACTAGTAACAATAGATGAGCTGTCACTAGGCAGTATGGTTAGTTGTCAAGTGATTAACACAAGTTGTTAAGAGCCACCACCTTGTTAAAGAGACTTAGCAAATCTAGTCTTAAATCAGATATTCAAGCTGGAAATAATGTGAGTACACATTAGGGTCATATGATTACGAGAAGAAACTATCTGGAAAGGTTTCATGTACAGGCCTGAGTTAGTTTTTGCCCAACAGGTGGAATTTAGATTGGGAAAGGAGTTTCCCATCTAAAGAGAACATCAGAAAGTGAAGAGAACAGCAGGAGCAACAGAACCAGGTAAGGGAACACGAGGCCTGCTTGGGGCAGTACTGGAACTTGGGGACCAAAACCAGCAAGAAGAATCTGAGTATCAATCAGTTAAGACCTGAGAGATGAAACCTTTGAAATGGAGAGGGTGTAGAGATTGAACCTGAGGAACTATCCTCCTATTTCAGAAGCTGGTAACAAGCTTCTGAATACTTCAATGAAGGATGGGTAGAAAGCTTTGAAGAGAACCAAGATCATGGAGATCAAGGATGGTGATCAGCAATGTCAAATGATACAGATGGCAAGGTCTCTGAGAACCTTGGGGAATATCTGATTCAGTACCAGATTTGCTAAGCCTCTTTAACAAGGTGGTGGCTCTTGAACACATGGCCATTCAGCTTTATCTTCTGGATTTGCACAGTGTGTTAAACTATCACTTACATGGGTTCAAAGTATCAGGTAATAAAGTTTCTTATTGGTTTCATTGGTCTTTATTCATTTCCACCTGTTCTGTGAGGCATTTTAAGGCTGTGCTTCAGTGGCTCATGGTCTTCTTTCATGTGACTGCTCAACTCCAGCTCACTGCAGAGCAGCTATCTGCTTTTCCTGCTGTCATTCATTCTCCAATGACTTGTCATGTTGAGCTAATTCCCTGGGATTTGGGCATCAAAAAAAGGAGGGTTATGTGTTGGTCTCTTGCCTCTGGAGACCTCTTCAAGGATGTAGACTGCACTACAACCCTGGCCAGCTGCCTTGCAGAGACAAGTGACTGGTCACAAGGGAAACCAGACGAGGGATAGATGGATCAGGTGAACCTATCATCCTTACTACAAAAACATGTGTTCAGGTGGTAGCATATCAGTATCATCTTCTCCAAGTGTAAAAAGAGAATCTATTCATATGCTCATTTTATTTGCACAGTTGAGACCAAAGTACTACAGGTGACTAGGTATTGCTTCTGTAAGGATGTCATGGCTCAGTGCTCAGATTTTGTTCTGGACTTTATGACTTAAATGGTGTCATTTTTTTCTGCACTATATAAACTATTGTTATTCAGACTCTGGCGTCTTTCTCCTCCTAAATAACAGATTCCAGCTGTTATCATTTGCTTCCTTACTTATATTAAATAAACTACTATTAATGTCAGAAAATGGTTTTCATAATTGAATCCACTATGAAGATAGCCTGGAGAGGTCATGTACTTCACTGCTTAATATTTATTAACTACCCTGTGGACTGGATCAAATAGAATATGAAGCTACATACTGTGGTGAAAAAATATTTTAATAACAGAGTTCCTCTTATGGAAGGTACTTTCTTTGCATGGGAAAATATTCATAGTGAAAAATATGGGGTTGGTAGGTACCTATAAAGGCACAAATTAGGGGATAGGAGATAACTAAAAATACTGTATAAAGACAGAGAAGAGAGGAGAGAAAGAGCCAGAAAGATGGTGGCTAGTGGCAGGTTAAGACTTACGATGAAGGGATGGGAGTCAGTGGATAAAAATGGGGAACTGAAGGGTTTTTAAGAGTAGGAAATTCTAATCTTAGGGTTTTATGCCCTTCATTTAAAAACCCTCAGCTCCTCAAAACCTTTAGAAGGCTCTGCTACAGAAACCAAAGAGGGGTTGATTTCTATACTATGTGCCAGAGAGAAGAGTTGCAGGTGAGATGTGAGGGAATCTGAGTATTCAGAGAAAGCCAGAACTCAGAGCTAGACGTGACCCTAAGATTGTATGCCCCCAGGGCCTGTGCAATCATAGACAGGCCATTGGCTTCTCCTGGAGACTCAAATCAATTTTAACAAAATCTCTGTACCAGAGTGACCCTAACTTGCAACATACAGTAGTAGCTTGCTGTTTTCAATCTCAAGAGACATTACTCCTAGAAAATGACAAGGTCAGTAATTCATTTCCCTTCCCCCCCCCCTTTTTTTTATTAAATGTCCCGGCCTCACTTTCCTCATCTATAAAATCTGAAGATTGGCATCAAGAATACCTATATGGTTTTTGGTAGGGCTGTGATAATAACTATTTTATGTTTCTTTTGAGATAATTTACATAAAGTAAAATGTACAAATCTGAAGGGTACCCGTTCAACAGTTTTGACAACTACAGATACTTTTGCACCTTAAACCCTTAGCTAGATATACAGCTTTTTCATCACTTCAGAAAATTCCCTCATAGGTTAAATTCCCTCCACGGACAGCCAACCACTTGTTAACCTGATTTTTATCACAATGGATTAAATATTTCATAGCTTTATTTTCAAAATTTTTATTAGTACATGTTTGTACTACATAATTACTTTCCTTGTAGGGAGTTGGTATATAACACATCCTAATTCTTTTTTCATCTCATTCTCTTTCCCTCCCTCCCCCATAGCTTTGTTTCATACTGCTTCCTCAGCATTAATGCGTTTATTTTTCACAAGAACCACGAGACAGGTATCTCCATTTTGCAAATTAAAATGCTGAGTTTGAGGGCAGGTGGTCACAAGTCATCGGCGACCCAGCACAGCGGCACCACGTGAACTTAGAATCTTAAAAGTCCACGCTCTCAAAGGGCTTATAATGACGATCCTGGAGAGTTCACAAACGATTGCCTAAGAAATATTAAAGCTCCAAATTCAACGGAGATCAATGCGATATACAAGCTCTAAAACCGAAATAATCCTAAGGGCCATGTATGCATTCCTTTTTATTAGATGCTCTGTGTCTAACCCCACTCCCCCAAAATGGCAGAAAGGGGCTGTAAAAGACTGCGAGCGAAGTGGATTTGCTTGGAGAAACACAGGCTGGCTGAGGTTCCACACATCCCACGGGGCAGAGCCAGCAAGGTATGGGACCTGGAACAGAACCCTTCAACGAGCGAACCAAGCTCCTGGTGTTCCATCCTCTGACGCCACAGCAGGATGGAGCGCGCTTGGCCCCGCGGACTGGGCTCAAAGTCGTGAGCGGAGCTCGTCCAGCCAGCTGTCCTCCTCAATGTCACAGTCTCCTGGCTCGCCCTTCCCCCGCACCCTGGCGGGCTGCCCAGCTCCTCCTAGAGCTGACTCAGAGCTCTTGCGGTCTCTTGGCCGCGCAGCTCGCGGCTGCCATGGCAACCGTACGCCGCCACCGCCTCTTCACGCACGTCGCGAACTAACGGACTCTGCGTGGGCCCGCGCCCCACCCCCACCCCCACCCCACCCCACCCCACTCGAATCGCGTCACGGACGGCCCGCCGACCGACCTGCAGCACCTAGGTAATGAACGAGGGCGAGGGTCGCGAGCGGGAGGACAGATGGTGGATGTCCAAGTTGACAGCCTCGCCCCAACTCCCGCAGACCGGGGCACCCTTGCTGGGAGCGGCAGGGTTGTGTGGGGCTCCGTGTGAGGTGGGGGAGGGGGCGCGAGCGCGAAGCTCGCTGGGCATCATGGGGATTGTAGTTCAACAGCTCGTGGGGTTCGCGGCCTTGGCGGGGCGGCTTGGACCGGGGAACTACAAAGCCCGGCGTCCCCGACAGCTGCGAAAGACCGATAAACTTTGGCGGACCATCGGAAAGCGAATCTCATTCTCTTTGTCTTGAGGGGGCTCTTGGGTGGTCTTGGAACTGGGCTCTGTGCTCTGGGAAAGGGAAGTGGAGGTGAGAGGAGGGTTTCCCGCCCTGAGGTTTGGTCCGCCCCGGCTGCGGCAGCGCCCAGCCCACCCTGCAGAGCTGCTGCCCTTCCTAGATGGGTGGCCACCGCCCGGCTCTAGGGCCCCGGGCCTTCGGCGCCTCTACCCCGCCCAGGGCGTTGCCTCTTGGTGCAGAACGCGTGTACCGCATACCTTTGATGTGAGACCCGAGAAATCGTGGTGTAAGCAGGCTTCTTTCCTTTCCCGGATAAGCTAATTTCTAGTTACTTAACATACTAATTTTAAAGTAACTCAAAGGTGTTTGCATATTCAGTCCATCCATTAGTGATTCCTCAAAGGGCACTGTTGTTCAAAGGGTAAGTGTAAAAGTGGATAAAAGATATCATTGCTGTTGTTTGGTGTATCTGGTTTTTATTGTTTTGCACTTTTGCATTTTATCTATGGAGGTTCAAGGTTGTGTAGTGAGTCTCTCCACCGGGTCCTCCTCCCCCATTGGCCAGGCAACACAGATTTGATTCTATTTTGAAGCCTAGTTTAGGTTTAAACTTTTATCACCTCCCCCCCCCCCTTTTTTTTTTACAGCGGGTAATAGTGTTTTCTTTGATTATTTTAGTGCTTTTCAGAATTTCTCAGGAGCATATTTTCAGGACGAAAAATGCCATGTTCTATTTTTTTTCTTGAAATGCTGTAGAATTAACCTTACCGTAAGAGTTGACTCAAGTCTTGGTGGGTAAGGAGGCTGACCTAGATTTACAAAACTCACCTTGACTATCCTTCAAAATTTTTCAATAGGTGCTCCCACCTCCTAGCAGTTTGGTATTTTATAGGGTTGGGAAATTGTTGATAGTATCGTGAGTTTGAGTGTGTGTGTGTGAGTGTGTTTAGAAATAAAACCGTAAGACCAGTAACAGTATAAAAATTCTTTTACTGTCAATTAAAATGATGCTGCTTATATAAGTTTTACCTAAACAAATTTTTATAACAAGGATACAGAAAGTAAATTTCATGAGACCATTAGGGAGAAAAGCATTGTGTAGTATGAGGAGTTGAAGTATTCATTCAGAATTTGCCATGTATTATGCCAGGTGGTGGAAATAAAGAGAAGAATAGAAGATTGCCTGTGCCTTGCATGGGCGTGTCATCACAGTAGTGTGTATGGGCAAGTTGCTCTAGGAGCAATAATAATTTCAGCGCGAATAAATGAGCATACAATAGCATTTATTGAATATTTACTCCGTGTGAGGCACTGTACTTTTTGCATGGAAGTCCTTATTTATTTCTCACAATGAAAGTATGAAGTACAGTTATTTAGAGATGAAGAAATGAGGTTAGAAATTTTCCTCAAGTTCCTACTTGGTAGTATGAATATGGGATTCAAACCTGCTGGGTCTAATTCATAATGTAAGTCATGGTTTCAACCCCCTAATCCCCTTCTACCTACCAATTTGAAAGATTCTGACAGGGGAGGTCTTTGGTATACAGTAATTTTTTTTTTTTTTGAGACAGAATCTCACTGTATAGTTTAGTCTGGCTTGGAACTCACGATAGTTCTTCTGTCTCATCCTCCCCAAGTCCTGGGATTACAGGTGTGTGTCACCACGCCCAGCCATAAAGTAGTTTTTGACTGGTGTTAAGAAAGTTCAATAAGCTTTCATTGGAGGGAGGATGAGGAAAGACACTAGGCAATATGAGCAAAGAATAGTTTCAGGAATGAATATTTTGTATTTGGGAAACCCTCGGTAGTTGTACGTGACTGGATCCCAAAATACTTGCAGTATAGTAGTGGGAGAAGCCAGATTTTAAGGTACTTGGGGCCATCATCAGAGTTTGGAATTTTTCTTAACATGGGGCAACCATTGAAGAATTTCAGAAAAAGTAGTGTTGTCAAACTGGGTTTATGGAAAGATTAGAGTGGTGGCAGGAAAGCCAGTTGTAGAAAAACAAAAAAGGTCCAGTAGAGAAATGAAGAGAGTCTGAAATAAGCAGATGGAGTCACAGAAAAAGATGATTTGAGGAATATTTAAGAGGTAAAATTGATGATTTATGAGTTTGGATGTCTAAGACAATGATGCTAGATGACAAAAGACAGTGAAACTGTTGATTGACATAGGAGCAGGAAGTTTTTGTTCGGGTGAAAGACAAAGATCAGTTTTGAGTGCTTGTTCAGGGTTGCTTTGGCATATTTGGGTGGGGATACATTTAGGTTTAGAGTTTTGAGAGGTCAGGACTGGATATAGAGGTTTACACATGGTTAAGTAGTTGAAATTACAGGAGACAATGGACCAGTTTAGCTAGGGGAAATGACTAGAAAAAAGAAGTAGTGAATATGGAACTCACTGGAAGCAGCAACATTCAAGGTGTGTGTGTTTGGAGGAGGGGCCATGTTTGAGAAGAAGTGGGGTAGAGGCCACAAATGAGGGTGAAGAGGTTAGGCGAAGAGAATGAACTGGAAGAAAGCACAACAGACAACCAAGGGAGGAAACGAGGAGTGGTTCGGAGTATCCAGGTTAGGGAGGGCAAGTAAAGTAAAAAGGTTGAGAAGTGACCAGTGGATTTGGCGGCTAGAAGTCCTTTATAAAGTGCACAAATGAAGCATCAGTAAGCATAGACTTCTTTGAAAATGTGTTCCATAATAATGCATATACAGAAGAAAAGAAAATATGAGGAGCCTCCATCCAACTAACCTAGCTTGAAGAGTGAACACATAATGTTTTGCTTCTTCTGTAACTCTTACCTTCCACCTGGGTTATTTTGAAGCTAAACTCAGATATTGTATCTTTTGTTCATAATATTTCAACATGTATTTTTTTTTTTTTTTTTTTGGTACGGGGATCAAACTTGAGACTGCACAGGCGGCAGAACCACTGAGCTAAATCCCTGGCTCCTCAATATGTATCTTTAAAAGTTCAAGATTCATTTTTTTAAAAAAAGGTATAACCCTACTATCTTTATCTAATTTGATAATACTTAATATAAAATGTCCAGTTGCATTTACTTATTTATTTATTTTTCTGGTACCGGGGATCAAATTCAGGACCTTGCACTTGCCAGGCAGGCACTGTGCCACTGAGCTACATCCCTGGCACCAGTTGCTTTTCTTTTTAAAGGACTTGGCTATAAAGAGAGGAAAGAGATGAGACAGTAACTAAAAAAGGTTTGTAGGGTTGATTTTGTTTTTGTTTTTAAGGTTAGAGAAAGAGCCAATAAACAGGAAATGTTTGAGGATGCAGGAAATGAAAAGGGAGGAAAGAACTGATAGAGGTCCTTGAAAATGTAGGAAGGAATAGGATGAGCATGTGAAAGAACTGTTCTGGAATTAATCACATGTAACAGTTGCCAGTCAAATAATGCTGTATTCCTAGGCAGTGTGCTAGGGTTGATAGGAGGAGGGGGACTGAGAAAAGAAGTGAGAGTGGATATAGGTAGGGTTGTAAAAAGAAGAGTTCAAAGGTGATAGTCTCTAAGAGGTGGAAAGAAATAAAAGCCAGCTGATTAGTGAAGAGATTGTGGTTTCAAAAGAAGAATGGTAGAGATCTGGAAAAGCCACAGTGGAAAGGAACTGCTCCAGGGCAGGTGAGAATTGTCTCCTTGACCCCATAGAAGTTGGTGGTTTACAGTGACAGCAAAACATGAGATTGTGCGAGTTTTCTCCTTAAATTTAGATTTTATTTACTAGGAAAACACTTAATTGAGGAAACCAGTAGACAGTATATAGCTGAAGAGAAGAAAATCCAGGCCTAGAATGGATAATTAGGTCATTCCTGAACAACTTTAGATTTATCCTCTTAATAATTATCGTCTCTTTTGTAGAAATATAACAGTAAAATTAGAAGATGTCAGAAAGGTCTATAGTCCTCTTCTCCATTATACTGTGTTTTCTGTGTGGTCATAGGCAACTTTCCAAACCTGTTTCTTCATCTCCTACGAGGTGTTAATACTATTTTATGTGATTTTTGGGAAGATTAAACAGTTTAATCAAGGTAAACTGTAAGTGCTGATTAAGTGAATGTGTTTCTCTTTCCCATCTCCTCCTCACCAACGGTGTAGCAGGACTGTCATTTTGTCTTGTGACTTTACCTATCTAAGTAGGTATGTTAACTAATGGTTACTAACAAAATGATGACTTGTTTCCATAAAAGGATTCATCAATTTTTTTAAATGAAGCTTCCTTAAATGTTATAAAATGTTATTTTATAGGCCATTAATAGTTACCTGGTTTTAGCTTATTTTTATCTTCGAAGAAATAGGAAGTTGAAGAAATCCAGGAAATGATTTGACATCCCAGTAGCTCTAAAATTCTTGGATTCTCTGTATCTCATTTCTGGACTGATTTATTTTATACTTCTACTGATATATTAGCATCTGTTTGTTAATGGAAATATGCATATGTTTTAGTGTGCTCAGCATTATTAAATATTTTTCTGTACAATGATAACCATACTTATATGTGGTAGGCTGACAGAAATTACACCTTAGAATGTGTAGTAAAAGGTATATATAAGCATTTTCCAGATAAATTCAAGGATTGTGAGAGTGGTTTTAAAAATGGGATAGTTTTCCATAGTGGGTTTAATTCTTTCTGGATGTCTTTTAATATGCTTCTTTGCTAGGGTTGGTTTGATTATGGTGCTACTTGAAGGTATGGAGAAGGAACAAATGACCTTTCAAACTTTGTTTCTGTCTATGTTAAAAATCAAAACTCAAAAATGAGCTTTATTTTTAATATTCTTTTTGTATGAAATAAAATTTGTTTTTTAAAATTATTAATATTATTGGTACATTTTAGGTATACAATATAATGACATTCATCATTGGAAATTTGTACCTTTACGTAATCTATCTTGGTTCTTATTTTTTTCCCCATTCCCCTGCCCTTCCTTCAACCCCTCCTCCCCTCCCCTATTTACAAAGACTTTCTTTCCATTTTTTAATTTTTTCATATTAATTCCATTACCTTCTTCCTTTCTCCTACCCCTTCCCATTCCCCTTTGCCCCTTTTCTTTCTATTTCACGTTATGTATTATACCTTTTAGTCCTTATTTACACTTTCAGTTTCTCACACCAGAGAAACTATTCAGTATTTACGCATTTGTCCTGTTTATTTCACTCAAGAGTATTGCCTCAATGTGTTTTCATTTAGCTATAAATGCCTCTAATTTCTCACTCTTTATGGCTGAGTAGTACTCCATTTTATAAAAAAACCACATGTTCTTTATCCAGGCTTCTGTTGATGGGCAGTTGGGCTGTTTCCAAGTTTTAGCTATTACAAACTGTGCTGCTATGAACATAGGTGCACATATATCACTGTGGTAGGATTCTTTTAATTCTTTTGGGAAGATCCCCAGGAGAGGAATAG